CCCCCCCCCCCCCCCAAACGTTCGATGTCAGTCCACAGAAGCATCAGAACAAGGACTGTACGGGCTTCAACAAGCTTTCTAGCCGTCGAGTCACCTTCAACCTGCACAAGGGATGTATCAGTGACCGGCGATGGAGCAGGACAGCTGCAGGACAGCTGAATGGTCTGACTGACATGGGCTCGTTTTCCATCTCCGTTTCCTTATGCGATTCCCACATCGTGATCGCTTTCACCAGGGCCAGCTTCATCCTTTGCTCTGTCCCGCTCCTACACGGGCACTTGCCCTGCCCTCCAACGTCAGAGCCGTCGGCCGCACGCCTGCCCAGCTCGAACCGCAACATACACGAGGTCGTAGGCGTCCTTAATACGATAGTTGCACCTCAGCCCATACTTGGTCGTCTTGTAACCGTACGCATCCGTTATCTCAAGGTCGTCCCACTTGACGTTGACCCATCCCTCTCGCTCCTCGGTCAACGAGTCTTGGAAAATGACGCCCTCGTTGCCCCTCCCGCCATCCTGCATCCCCCACTGCCATGACGGCCCTCGCATCACCTTGAAGTCGTGAGAGGGGCATGCGTTCTTCTCTTGTACAAAGCAACATTCCAGCTTCACCCCCGAGAAGGTAGAGGTCTCGAGAAGGCTGTTGTAGCACTCCGATGCATACTCCACGTCCTCGTCTTTGATGAAGTAAGAGGATACATCCTGCCAGCCGGTCACTGGTCACATGTTGAGCAGCCGAAGAATTGATCCTTTACAATCATGATTTGCTTGATTTCTTCGGGATCAAGCTTTCGATTCTTGTCCGTGTCATGCTTATCGATCACTTGGGAAATGTCTGTTCCGTTCACACAGATGCCATTTAAGGCGACAACCAAACGAACAACAAAAAGGGTATCACCTGTCTTTCTAGCGATGAAGCTTTCATACTGCTCCAAGGCATCACTGATCATCAAGACAGTTAAGTCGACATGAGAAATGCGCAGCCTTCAGTCACAGAAAGAAGAGCTTCACCACAGCTCGTCCTCGTCGATATGGCCGTCTCTGTTGGAATCCGCCATGTCCATTACCCACCTGATGCATCATGGGTGAGAGGCTGGTGATTTGCCATCACACGGTCTACCTGACTTCTGTTGGGAGAGGCGGCATGCCGTCCATTTCTTTCATCATGTACGACACCTCTTGAGAAGTAAGCTTCCCTCTTGCAGAATGTGCATACTTCTCGACCTATAACCCGTCGTCAGAAGCATTTTTGTGCGCATCTACATGCTCTTTTGGAATCGTGATGGTAATCGTGATGGTAATTAATTGTCCAGCCTGCCCTGCCCTTACCCCGGCTTGTAGCTCAATGATTCCTCCTTGTATCCTCGCTCTTCTCTCCCCTGCTTTGGTTCTGTCCTAATCCTGACCCACCCATCAACATGGCTATCCTTCCTGTACATCGTTCTCCTCATCTTCCCCTCTCCGTCTTCTTACCAGGCTCTTCACGTACGCGCGTTTGGCGTCTTTGTCTGCCATGGCCGAATCTTCACTGTGCCCCCTCATCCCCAAGTCATCCCATGCCCGGATGTCCGGCAGGATGTCCGGCAGATGTCCGGCCCGCCGGCCCGCCGGCCCGGGGCCCGGCAAACCGTGCCAATTTCACCTTTGTTACTGAGAAAGTTGGGGAATGTTGAAGCGAGATTGGGGGAATTCTCCTGATTCGAGAGAGTGGGTAGGGTGATATTGATCACCCCTACATCAAATAGTTGAAATGAGGGTTCACAGGATGATATTGAGCCCCACCTACCCACCCATCCCATCTTTGTTTTTCATGGCACCGTACCGTGCAAAACTCGTCAGACCCACCCCTCTTCCTCCTCCTCTTTTTGATCCGTGGTCAATTTTTTCATTGCAGCTTTGAAAATATCCCGATGAGAACAACAATGTCTCAAAATATTTTCACACCCCTGAAAAAAGTGGGGAGGAAGGATGAAATCAAGGTCGAGAGTTCTCCACCCCTGGTGTCCCATCGAAAGCAGTTTGGGGTGGGTGGTCAGAGGTCTAAGGAGCTGAACTACCTAATATTTTAGGCACATGAAAATTATCTGTATAACTGAAATATTCAATACAGTTTTTCCTTGACAGGTCAGTCGTTCTGGGGTCTGGGTGGATCTAAAATGCAGTCCGAGGCTCGATGAAGGGGGTAGGGGTGGGTCCTGTCCAGGTACTGCACCACCGGGTGTTTTGGGTGTTGTAGGGTTCTGCTTTCTGTGACTTGAGAAGGTAGGGTGGCTTGCACCACCGATAGGGGGGGGGGTGAAGTTGTAATGACCACGGGTGATAATAAACTCTTTAGTAGGGGTGAAATGGAGTGTCAGAAGAAATGTGGGGGGTACTTAGAACTGTGGTGGGTGGTTGGATTGTGTAGTTGAGGGTGGGGCCGAAAGGATCCGAGCTATGGCAGGAGGGTAGAGGTTGAGGATGAGGAAGTCAGGGTGGAGGAGCTAGATCCAATCGTACAGCGAGGACATGGGGTCAAAGATAGAATGCGGTCGTCATGGGAAGAAATGGTCAAAACCATCGTAGATAATGTGCATTCTTGGCCTTGTTCATTGCAATCTGGTTGTTTGTTGTTGAGGTTTTTTGTTTCATGATTGAGATAGTCGTGTACGCAATGCTAGATTGAACAGAACTCATCGATTTTCTGTAGAAATTCACATGATTAGATGATTGCCTGATGATATTGATTTGTCTGTTCTTGAACAAGTCGACGGGTTCAGCCTCGTAGGGTCACTTGCTGACTTTGTTGCCTAGTCAACGATGGCGATTCGCAATATGCTCCGTGCCGCTGCTATTGGTAAGTCTGGCTGATTCAATATCTACATCTCTGCATGCACTTTCGTTGGACGTTGGACATGCAAGCTTTCCATCCGACCTCGACCAAATGTCGTTCTGAAATGTGGCACAGGCTTCATTGGATTGAGCGGAGTCTCTGCTTTCGCTCCTGCTGGCGTCGCTCGCGTTGCTGGCAGCACTGGACTCTGCATGTCTGCTGGAGGCAGTGGAAAGATCAAGCAGGTCAGCGAAATCCGCCAGGACCCGAGAAAGAAGCTCGCGCCGGCTGGACAGGTTGGTGCGAAAAAGCTGCAGCACGTGGATGCTCATTTTTGATCAGGTTCCCTTCTCGGGCAAGGGACAGTACGATGCTCGTGCGGCTCTGGGCCTTGAGGATGTAAGACTGATGACCTTTCAAACCTTCCTGCAGCAGATCCTGCGTGCTGAGCATCGTTCAGGTTGTCGACACCACCTACAGCAAGCCTCCTTCCACCTTCAACTTCGGTGCCTCTTCTAAACTCCAACAAGAAGCTCTTCCTGATTATTTGTTTACCAGGAAACAAGCCTGCTGCTAAGCCCGTCCCCAAGCCCGCCGCCAAGCCTGCCGCCAAGCCTGTTGCAAGGGCTGCTCCCAAGCCTGCCGCCAAGCCTGCTGCAAGAGTTGTCGCCAAGCCTGCCGCCAAGCCCGCGGCCAAGCCCGCAGCTCGTCCAGCTCCCACTGGTAATATAAGACTGACATGCTCGAAGAAGAAGCTGAGAGACGTGCAGGAACTCGTCTGGGAAGCAACAGATTCGGCACCACCCGCATCAATTAAATCGTGTCCAATACTACGCCTGGAACATTCTTAGCACGCGATATCAATGTGGATTGTCGTTACAATGATTTATTTTTGTGATTAAACAAAGAGAACAACACTTAGGGGTGGGGGTCAGACCGTTCCACCTGCATAGCCATCAGTCCCATCCCGTGCTCCCCTTCTCTCACTCTTATATCGCACAACTCGACCGTTGATTGCCTGTACAGGTCGGGCATTTTTTCCTTCTACAACAAACGTCATCATGTCATCAATCTGCATATCTCAATGTCTACCCGTGCTCTGCAGTTTGAACAGGTCAGAAGCCGCGATCTTGATGGTCTGCTGCAAGACCAACCATGTCACCTGCGTTCCGTCACCACACTTGAAACATCTTCCTCGTCTGCACATCTTCACTGCAAGGAGGAGCCGTCAAGCTCCCGGAGTAGGTGTAGTATGGCACAGCAGTAGTGGTGTTGCCTCCGTTGGGGAACAAGATCCCAGTGAGCATCTGGTAAAGGGAAGTGTATGAGCCACCCGCATCCCACCGGCTACCCGGTGCACCTGTGTCATGTCCAGTGAGACCTGTAGGACCTGCCCGACTGAACTCGTCGGGATCTTTGCAAGTACCTGCGGCGACGGTGAGAGGGCGCACGATAGGATCATGTTTATGAATCACATCAGCGAGGTACGCTGGGGATGCTAGGCCGCCTTCTTCCACCAGGACGCTCAGAATCAGTGATCTCTGAGCCGTGCTCTGCTCATCGAGTGAGAGACAGTCAGGAGGAAGACAAGAACGAAGCCTGGAAGAGAAACTGAATCTCCGCTGGTAACGCGATCCCGTTGATCTGGTCTTGTTTCAGTGGAAACCCCTGAACACCAACACGGTACCGTATGCTCCGATGGAGTGTGGAATCGTAAGTTAACAAGCTGATACCACAGAGATCCATAGTTCATGAACAGACCGAGCGTTGTAATCTGAAGCCAGTACGAACTCAAGGATGATTTGGAGAGGGTCTGTAGACCTACCTTGATCCCGTACCCATCGTTAGTGAGAGTTACTTTGTTAGAAAAGTCGTTCTGCACAAGCTTTCCAACATCCTGATTCTGAATCAACCAGAAAAGCTGTCTGCATATAGACATAATACTTGAAAGTATGAGAGTCTAAGGTCTGGATCGGTTGCCGCCGCAGCCTGCACATGGTTGCATCATGGGATCATAAGGTCAGCTCTTTGTTCTACATCACCTGCGTCAGGGAGCTGTCTATGTTGATAGGCGACTGCTTCTTTCCCGTCCTTGAGAAACCAAGTCCGATCAACTCTCCTCTTCAGACTAACGATATCAATGTACCCGCATGTCGTGTACAGCGGTGACAGATTCATCCAGTACGATGGGCCAGTAAGACCTTGTCAACAAGAGTGAGTGTATGAGGATCGGTCCTGGGAGAAAAGGCACCCGAGTATGACCAAGTGCTGCTCATCGCAGTCAGAAATGACTGAGGAGGTTCGAGATAACAGGGAGTCACCTGTTGACTGGTGTCTTCGGTTTCAACGGTACGGCGGATCAAACATCTCAAGTCAAACAGCTGTCGGGAGAGGAGAAGAATGTATCAGAAATGTCTCTTACAATGATGGGTTGCGACTGAACTGTCTTTGGAGTCTTGTGAGACTCAACGTACGCCATCTACAGCAGACTTGCGTTAAACAACAAGCAAGGTCGAGCCAGAAGGTCGTACCACACCAACCACAAGGGAAGGAATATTGACAGCATAGGAGAGGGCGACAAGAGCAAACAGGATCGGCATAGCATAGCCGCTCTGCCTCTGTCGGAGATTTGCTGCTGAAAGATTCGACACGATCTCAGGGCGACTGCACGAACAGGAAACAATTACCATAATCAGAATCGTAGCCCATCTGAGACTTGGAGGCGCTGTCATAAACAGTATTGTTCATTTGTTGGTTCATCATCATGCGCGTGCTACAAGGATGGATATTGCTCGAGACAAGCTTCTGTGCTTCAAGCCTGAGCCATCTGCCATCAAGCTATTAGCACCATACTCGTTGAAGAATATTTGAAGCTCCATCCCTATACTGGTTCATCATGGTATGATCACTTTGCTTTTTCATCCTTTCGCAATGACTATCTGCCTGCCTGTGCTCGAGTCTTCCTGTGAGTCTCTCTGCTGTCTTTCTCACATGTCTGCATACCCGACTAACTTCTCCTTGCCATGGTTCTTCTGTTAGAACCAGCGGAGGCTTCTGCGCGTCATTTTCAAATTTTGACCCGCGGCTCGATCGTCCTCGTACTGATTTTTAACTTAACTATGAGTAAAAGATCCGATTCAATGGCCTGAGATGTAAGTTTGCCGGGGATCGGACTGAGCGTACTAGTAAGCCGGCCCGGCGGGCTGGTTAACACTTCGACCTGGCCGGGCGACCGGGGCCTGTCTTACCGTACATGCATGCGAGCAAGATCATACATCGAGACATCAAGCCGCAGAACGTCATGGTAGATGAGCTCGGCAGAGCCAAGTACATCGACTTCGGCCTCTCCAAGGAGGAAGAGCTATCCAGACAGACTAGCGCGAGCTACACCATGGTAGGAACGCAGAGCTGGATGGCCCCCGAAGTGAAGAAGGGAGAGAAAGCGACCGCAGCGTCGGACGTGTACTCTTTCGGGTTGGTAGGGAAGTATGTGCTGCTTTTCGGGGGAGGACAGAAGCTGCCTGACGACATCTACGGCAAGATGGTGGCCTACTGCACGTGCGACAATATTCAAAGAAGACCAACGTCAGGAATAGTCGCTACAAGCTTGATGGCAAAGCAGGATCTCTTCCCATCTAATGCCTACTGCATGTGCGACAATATTCAAAGAAGACCAACGTCAACATCGTTGTTTTGCATTTGATTGCAGTTTTAATGACTTTTCTTACTTTTGAACAATCATTTTTTCAATCCAACGATTTTGTTCTCTAGAGTTTTTTCATGATTGAGCAGAAGCCGCTGCATTCCTGCTTGGGTTGTCCTGTCATGTATTGGTTAACGCTGCCTACAGCATCTTTGCCGTAGCAGTAGGCCTTACTGCCGCTCACAAAGGTTTTCACAGCGTCACCAACTTTGTTGTGCTTCTCGGAGCTGGAAGGCATGGTGGAGGGCGGGGGGGAGGAAGATTGTAGTTTGACTATTCCACAGGCCTTTTTATACCCCCGGCCTTCCCCCCACCTGCCTCAGCTGATACACGTATCCAAGGTATCCAAGATCACCAGCCCTACATCGTACATATACGTATCCAACGTCCCCCTTTTTAGGGGTTTTTCCCCTGGTTCCTAGCTGGACCGGGGGAAACGTATCCAAGATCACCCCAGTCCAGCTGGGGACTGGGGGAATAACCCGCAAAACAAAGGAAAGATCCACATCGCCTCCTGCTTGCTGCCCCAGCTCGTATCTGTCAGCATTTCATTCATGAAGCGGAGAAGGTGAGCAGATGTAGTGTATTGAGAACTATTGCTACCGACACATCGCGATGTAGCTTGGAACGTCATGTACGAATATCGTCGTTCATAACATTGGTCAGAAATATCATAGTATCAAGATGACCGCGAATCAACAACTTCTGCAACGTATTTGGAAATCAGTTATATGTTCAATCTCCACACCTTTCTTCGTTTTTACTTGTTGTGTTTGACTTGCTTTATTTCGTTTAGAGTCAATCTTAGAGACTGAAATTTCATTTCAGCATTTCTAGATGATCTTTTTGTATTGGAAGAAAAGATAGCACGTCTCTACTTTGATTTGCCAGTGAGAAGTCTTGTTGCACTTCCTGCGGCCTGTTTTGCGTGATAAATCGCCTTTCCCGTGTTCGAAAGAACGCTGATAGCGGCACCAACTTTGTCGCGCTTCTCGGAGCTGGAAGGCATGGTGGAGGGCGGGGGGGAGGAAGATTGTAGTTTGACTATTCCACAGGCCTTTTTATACCCCCCGCCTTCCCCCCACCTGCCTCAGCTGATACACGTATCCAAGGTATCCAAGATCACCAGCCCTACATCGTACATATACGTATCCAACGTCCCCCTTTTTAGGGGTTTTTCCCCTGGTTCCTAGCTGGACCGGGGGAAACGTATCCAAGATCACCCCAGTCCAGCTGGGGACTGGGGGAATAACCCGCAAAACAAAGGAAAGATCCACATCGCCTCCTGCTTGCTGCCCCAGCTCGTGGCATCGCGTACCCTTGGCATGGAGCACGTAGACATCCTTGCAGAACTTGCAGGAGCATCCTTGGTAGGCATCTTGAGCAATGCCAGGCAGGCGAGAAACAACAAAGGCAGACTGGGAAAACTTGCTTCGAGCCTCGATGAGGTAGGAATTCTTGATTTCTTGTCTTCTCTCAAGGGGAACAAATCAATCACCCCTGCTACTTTTCTTCCAATCATTGCAAAGCTAGTTGTACGCCTATGGACTGTAGAGAAGTCTGTGTTTGTCTGGGCCCAAGAAGGAGCGTACAAGGAATGGAGTCATAAGGCCATCGCCGAGATCGATGACGCAGAGTCTGGCATCTTCGAAACCATCGAAGAACTAAAGCAGTCTTAGGACAAAGTTGCGGTGCTGGACCACATCATGACAGAACCTTCGACAATGCGAATGACGACTTCGAATGGGCTATCCTGTATAGCGATCTGATCTATGACAAAACGAGTCGAGGAAAGCCAGCCTCGTCCTCCATACTTGGCAGCGGAGGCTTCGGGACAGTTTTTCTTGCCCAGTATCAAAACATGGCGGTGGCAGTCAAGGAACCTCACAACGCTGCTAGCATCCACAAAGACGAGTATAGGAAGCGAGCCTTCTGCAGGGAAGCTGATCACCTCTACCGGCTCCGGCATCCTAACATAGTGAACTTCGTAGGAGCCATCGTAGAGGACGAGCACCACGAGCCCTGCTACTGCATTGTGACGGAAGTCCTGCCCTTCACCTTGGAGGCCTACCTGACAGCCAAAGCCACGTCGAGTATCTCTGTTGGTCAACAAGTGATCTTCGACCTGGCAACGGGCCTGTCCTACATGCATGCGAGCAAGATCATACACCGAGACATCAAGCCGCAGAACGTCATGGTAGATGAGCTCGGCAGAGCCAAGTACATCGACTTCGGCCTCTCCAAGGAGGAAGAGCTATCCAGACAGACTAGCGCGAGCTACACCATGGTAGGAACGCAGAGCTGGATGGCCCCCGAGGTGAAGAAGGGAGAGAAAGCGACCGCAGCGTCGGACGTGTACTCTTTGGGGATGGTAGGGAAGTATGTGCTGCTGTTCGGGGGAGGACAGAAGCTGCCTGACGACATCTACGGCAAGATGGTGGCCTACTGCATGTGCGACAATAGTCAAAGAAGACCAACGTCAGAAATAGTCGCTACAAGCTTGATGGCAAAGCAGGATTTCTTCCCATCGACATTAGCATCTAATTTGACCCTGTACGCATGCGTGGGGGTGGGGTTAGCTCTTCTAGGGTACATGGCTATGGGAGGCGATAGCGACGACGATTCTTGAGGATATAGAATGCGCATTATGCTGTGAAGGCTTGTGATTGATCGGCCCAGTAAAGTTCTAACGCACCTTAGTCGTCTCAAACCAGAGTCGTTCTCAAACAATCTGTGACTGACTAAAGTCCCCAGCTGCTCTGTTAGATAGCATCCCAGCTGCTAGCCAGCATCCCAGCTGCTCTGTTAGATAGCATCCCAGCTGCTAGCCAGCATCCCAGCTGCTCTGTTAGATAGCATCCCAGCTGCTCTGTTAGATAGCACCCCAGCTGCTAGCCAGCATCCCAGCTGCTCTGTTAGATAGCATCCCAGCTGCTAGCCAGCATCCCAGCTGCTCTGTTAGATA